GGTAAGTGGAGCAGGAATGACAACTCAGCAGGCACACAAGCCTCTATCAGCAGATTAAGGTCACCGTGTTTACATACGTTACAAATTCCTAGCCCTTCTTTTTGTGCCTAACGCCTACAGTGGAATACAGGAGAGCAGTCACTGTCAAAGCGCAAAGGAGCATTAACCTACAATGACCCACGCGCTGTTTCCCCAGAAAGGTGTGAGGGCCAATACAAATACTCCAAAAGGAAGGCATTAATAAAAGGGGACAGAGCCCTTTCTAGCACCTCCTCTGCACTGACCTGGTTCTCTACATGTCAGTGCTTCATCGTAACCTTCAACCCTCCCACAGTGCCCCACTGCTACACAGAGATATTACAACCCGTATTTCACTGTATTTGCAACTGCCATGGCTCAAAGCTGCTCCACTTAATAAAGACACCCTTTTGCCAGAGCCCTGGGATGCTTTTCCCTCCTTTCCCATCACTGCAGAGCTAAATTCTGCACACTGACCTGACCCTTTCCCTCTTCAGTCCTCCATTCTTACCTCTTACGGACGATGTTGATGTTCTTCTCCAACTTTTCATAGTTTATGTATTCATTAGGCTCAAAGTGGCTCATGGCCACCTTGGCCCGCTGGCACAGAACGGATGCAACATGGTAGCGCCGTATCCCACCATTCAGGGCATGCTGGAAAAAGGAGAGTGTTAGTGCTGGAACCCAGAACTGGTATCACTTGGAATCACTCGTTGGTATTGAGTTGACACTGTTAGGCTAGCAAACAACACCAAACAGGAATAAGCAGATACCTTTCTGCTCCACCATCACATACCAAGATCTCAGTGCAAGGTCCCTACACAAAAGTCGCCTGGAACATGGGAGAAGAGCAGACTGTGGCAAGACACCATTTACAGCAGCTGACCTCAAAGAGACAGGTCAGTGCTAGGGTTGAAAGGCTCTCACACAGCTTTAAAAGCTGAGTCAGAGGGCAACCTCCATAAAAACTTCCAAGGATTTGCCACATGCATTTTTTAACATCCTTTGAAAGTCTCCGTTGTCATTGCTGGAAGTCTGAAACCAGACACAAGACAAGAGTGCAGAATTCTCCCCCCTCTTACAATTAAATCTGAATCCTGCTTTTTCTATTCATCCTCTAGTTTACATTGACAATATTTCTGTAAGTACAGGTTAGTAAATATATCAGCATAGCACTTGGTATCCCTCATGTATGTATGAATGGATGCATGACTGTAAATGAGCAAAGGTCCTTTGTGCACCACAGAATCATAGCACCAACCACTCATTTTGCATTACCAAAAATCCCAATCAGACCTTTAGATCACATCTTTTTCATTTCTCCCAGTAAATATTTTTCCCATAGCTTTCTTGATACCAGTATTCAAAACATTGCTTAAAATTATCAAGACCAAGAGACAAAGTCACAAATTTTCATCCAAATCTCTTGTTTTATTGTCTTTTTGATAACATTTGTTAATATTTTCCATAATAAAAAGTCAAGGAAATCCAGGAGAGAGCATAGCAGCCAGCACACTAGCAATATGGGTGTTGGTTGTTTTCTTACCAAACAATCCTAAGCTATTAGATACACATCTCAGTAGGAGCAATGCACATCTGCAGCATTTTAGCAGCCACGCACCATTTTGGTCCAAGTAAATCTGAAATAAACATGGTGGTACAAGGGAGAGAATTGCTGTAACAGAAGGGCAAATGAAAGGCAGTCATCAGATTTCAGCCTGCTGCACTTTAAGCTCAAAACTTCCAGAATATATCACAGATGTCAGACGTGAGATGACGACTCTCCCACTGGAGAACCAACCACAACTTCCTATCAGACAAAAGTCAGATAGTATCTTCTCAGTTCCTGCACGCACATCTATGTACTTTTTTACTTCACTTCACTACTTTACTGAAATGGCTCAGTGAAATGCAGTATTCATTAGAATATCACATAAATATTCAAATGGTAATCACAGTAACAGCTATACAAAGTAGCTGACTTCTGTTTGATCCCCACCACAGCTCCAGATGCCAGATACAGAAGAGAAATGAGCACTGGCAAAAACACATTGCTAATGGTGGTGCCTACACTGAAAAATTGTTTTGTAGCTGAGAATTTCTTCCTTCAGACAGTGCTGTGTGTTCTTTGTATCTGCTGGAGTTTCCATGGAGGCATTACTTTTGGAGCAACCTCCATAAAACTACAAGATGAAGTCACAAGACTGACAGTTTCCAGTTTCGTTTTCTCCCACTTTTCCCTGAAACAAGAAGTGCTCCAGGGGGTTTCTTTGGTATTTTTTGTTTGTTTTTGGTGAGTAGTGACAACAGCCATGGGAAGTACGTAGTCAGCATCATTAGGTTCTGGACTGAGCACAAGCAAAGAGCTGCCCAGCAGGCTCTTCTCACCTGGCATTGAATGTTTTCCCTGTACCTGAGTGTCCTTTACTCAGAAAGAAACAGAAAAGAAACCACTGCAGGGCTCCTGAGTCTACCTGTATTTTGGTAGGTGAAAAATTTCCCCCTAGAATTGGTAAAGACAGCTTACTAAAGGTATCATTATCTTTGAATCCTCCTTAAGGAAGCCTACTCTTATCTATGTGGACTTTAAAAGCTCATCTGAAAAAAACAGCTTTCTTCTAATTAGCTCACAGCAGTAAATGTCCAGGTGCAAGTTTGAATTCTTGAAATTCACATTTTGACATTAAATATGGTAGATATATCTAGCAAGCATAAAGCCTGTAGTCAAAAGACTAGAAACTTTGCCACATGCTCTCCTATCCCAAAAAGCTCTCCTAGAAATTCTAACTAAAACCCAGAATATCATTTTTCCTCCTCCTCCCTGATCTAAGAACAGTAGCCAAGTTTCCAACGTTGACCATGATTCAGCCTAAAAAAAGCAATAAGGTATAATCAACATGTAAATGCAAGCCGTTTTCCCAGACCCACTTCCAAGGAGCAACCAAAATTAGCGTTCCGAAGATGGGTTTAATTCTAGCCAACACCGTTTTCTTGCCAACATACATAAAGCTCACAAAATGCAATTGCTTTTTTTATATGCCTACAAGACCTTCAGCAAACCCCTGACTCTTCAGTCAGCTTCACAGTGCTGTTCTTTCTGTCATTCCTTAGGCCAACGTGGCTTGAGAAACAAGATGGCTCCCAAAAGCATCTTTCAGAACAGCATGAAAAACACCTCTGTCCTCTGGGGCTTTTATAGGAACCATACTATAAATAGGACTGTCAGCCTGAACTGGGCTAATTCCAATTCATTTCTCTCTAAGACAAGCCTCCTACCCAGTTCCAACTCCAAAAACCTGTTCTAGGAAGGGAGATGAGCAGAACCAGCATTAACAGCACATTAATGCCACACTCAGTGCTGGCACTCTCACAGCAACTGGCAAGATGAGCCACGTTATCATATCATCTCTAGACTGCTACACATGAGAAAAACTATTATTTGCTTCCTACAGCAACCAACCAGAATGATTGGTAACAGTCCCTTAAATGGGGAAAAAAGCCTACTTTGAATCTGATCATATAATACTCCCAGAATACTAAATTTCATGCATTCGCTGTGCTGACACATATTCACTTTAGTACACATTCAGTTGATCTGGTGTGACTGCACACACCATAAAAAGAGAACCAACCCATTATTCTAATAAAAGATTTGCCTTTGTTTTATCAGTAGTTGTTTCTGTTCAAAGTGCAAAATAGCAATTACTTAACAGTCAATGATAAACATACTGAGATAAATGCAATGATGCCATGCCATAACGCTTACTTAAAAAAGCAATGCTTTTCTATGACGTGCACTAAGAGCAACAGAGTAATATAAAATGCGAGTTAGAACCATAGAATATACTGAATATCTTGAGTGGGAAGGGATCCATAAGGATCATCAAAATCCAACTCCTGGCTCCACGTGGCACCACCCAAAAATCAGACCCAGCGTGTGAGAGCATTGTCCAAACACTTCTTGAACTCTGGCAAGCTTGGTGCTGTGCCCACCGCCCTGGGCAACTTGTTCCATGCTCACTGCCTTCTTCACAAAGTGCCTTCTAAGCACTGGACTCAGTGATCCTTTACGTGTCCCTTCCAAGCTGAGATATTCCGTGACGACTCTATGATAAGGTTATTGCTGCAGCTCCCTGGGAGCAGGAACACCCTCCCCAAGGTCACAGCTGGCAAATGGAGCAGTCAGAGCTCCCAGCTTCACCACGTGGCTTACTGAGGGCAGTACAGCGAGCAGCATTACAAGAGAAAACGGCATTCTATCTGCCTTCTGGGCTATAGAAAACAACGACACGCTTATTAGCGAGCAGACAATGAACGGGATAATGTACTCAGTACGGCAGTGCCTGTGATGGGCGCAGGCAGATGTGGGTTTTAGAGGTCACGACGAAGAAAACTGGGAGGATCACTCTGAACGGCGGTTCGAGCCATTTAGAAAATAAAATAACAATGATAAAACGATAACTTATGCGGCTGCCTGGCCCTTTAGCACACAGATCCAGAGACGCCCGTCGACGCGAAGGGCAGCAATCCCGGAGCCGGGCGGCGCCGCGCTCCCCCCAAGGGCACCCGCAGCTAACGGCACGACGTGAGGAGGAGCCCGCGGAAGGAGGAAGCGCGGCCCCAGGCACGATCTCTCGGCCTACCCGAGCGCGGTCACCTTGCGCTCACCTTGAGGGCCAGCGGTGTCCGGAGGCGGCGGGACCCGCCCGACACCGAGGCCCACGAGGCGGCCGCGCCGCCTCCGCCCGTACGGCCCCGCCATCGCCATGGAAACGGGCGCCGGGCCGCGCCGGGGACGCGCTGACCTACGCGCGGAGACGGCGGAGATCCGGCCCCACGCCTCCGCCCGCGGCCCCGCGGTCCCTCGGCCCTCCGTCCCGTTGGGTAGCGGCCCTCACCCCGCCGCCCCGCCCGGCCTCTCCCGGCCCCGCCCGTCCCGCCGCGCTCACCCGCAGCCGAGCCGCCAGGACGCAGTACGGCGCCATTTTGTGCACTGACAAAGATGAAGTCGCGCCTCGATGGCGTCAGTCGGTCCTTTTGATACCTCCGGCGCGTGGGAGGGGGCGCCGAGGGGCGGGGCCGAGCGGGTCCTGGCAGGGAGGTACGGGCGGGGAGAGCGGCGACTCCCGAGCGGGGATACGCCGTCCCCCGGGCTGAAGGGAGCGGCGAGGCGGGTTGCGCTTGAAGCACTACGCCGAGCTCGGTTACGAGGTCGGCGTCCCCTCTCGGAGCGCCGCTTTGTCAGACGCTCTCCACACCCCTGCCAGGACCGGGGCACGGCGGCAGAGCGCCGAGAAGTGTCGCCGGCGCCATGGCCAAGCACCATCCGGATCTCATCTTCTGCCGCAAGCAGGCGGGCGTCGGTGGGTACCGCACCTTGACGGTGGGGTCAGGCGGCCGTTGGGGCCCGTTAGGTGCCGTTCGGCCTACGTTAGGTGCCCGTTAGGTGCCGTTGGGGCCCGTTAGGTGCCGTTGGGCCCCGCGCGCGCAGCTCCCCGCTCTTCCCCCGGCCCTCAGAGCTCGGGGTTCGTGGCGCGCTCCGCAGCGCAGGGATGGGGCTCGGGCTGCGCAGTGCGGCGCCGAGTGCGGGTTTCCTTACGGCCGGTGGGTTACCGTTGGCCGGACGCCGTGCGCCGGAACAGTGGGCCGGGTGGGTGTGCCCTGAGGACAGGCGTCGCTTGTGTTCGTGGTCTAACTGTAGCCGCGTTTCCATTTCTGCCTCAAGTAATGTATGGTTGTTTTTTTTTTCTTTTTTTTTTTTAATTCTTCTTACAGCAATTGGAAGGCTGTGTGAAAAATGTAAGTATATCTTCTGCTGTTTGAGAACCCAACGTTGTGGTAAGAGCCTGCAGCTTGGTTTCTCTTTACGCTGCAGCAGTTTCAGTGGCTGCGGATACAGTGAGTGCTTGATTGATGGATTCCTCGTAATCCGGAACGCAGAGCGATCAGCCTGATGATTTCAAAGAAGAAAAACACGTTTTTGGAATCTGACTCCGCAGCTTGAGAAGGGTTCCTTTCATCGTCTAATAGAATGGGAAATGGATGGAAAAAAGTGCTGTCTAAAGCTACAGCAGATGAATATGCAGAAACAAATATCTACTGCAGGGAACCTACTTTAGCAAGAGTGTTGGGTTTGATGATCCCTGGAGATCCCTTCCAACCCCTACAGTTCTGTGCTAGTGCTCACCTGTAGCAGAAAAGAAAGAGCACAGTAATCATTAGATCCTTGAAGGAGCTCAGTACAAGTAAGCCAGCTATTTCTAGGCTCCAGGAAATGTTAAAAACAAGCAGAGTGAGGAGAAGCACAGTTTGAAGCGACAGAACTGTTTCCAAGAGCATGCAGAAGTTAAACAGATTCCCAGTGGTAGTAGCTGAGGGCAGTCAGGATGGAGATTTAAGAGCAGGTTAAATGAGCTGTTTGTGGGAGTCAGGATTAAATGCCTTGGGAACTGGTAATAAGATATGAAGCTTTTCATCTGGAGGTCAGAGTTTTGGATCAGGGCCAGCCCAGCAGAGACTGTCAACGGCATCTGATGGCTGTTTGCCTGTATGATAAGAGTGCTTGAATTTCACTCAGTTCCTTGTGAGAAAGCAAGAGCAACTTTGTGAAGTGGCTGTTTATGCCAGTTTGCCCTTTCTTTGGCCTTCTCACATGAAGGATTAAAAGCACCACAAGTACAATCTCATATCCCATCCCTCTGAGGGTAGTAACACCAGACTTTTGTTGATGTGGCTCTCTGGGAGATGCTTACACTGCTGCTGTGTAGGTAAGGACGCTAGTCCTGGCCATCTGGCATTTTTTCACAAATGAAACGTTAAGGGAAGTTTCCAGAGTAAAAGTAATGGTATGACTTAAGCACTGTTAGCTAATCACAGAGGACATGGCTGTTGGCTTCTGAAGTCTGTACACAAATATAATGTTGCACCTTGTACCTGTAAGCTAAAGTTCTGCAGTCTGACTGCTTCGTCTTTGAGTGTACAGGCAAGTTCTTTGTCCAGAAGGCTTTTCCTCTTTTATGCGGGGTGGAGAAAAGGACGTTCTGTAACCAAGGACTGCTGTATTTGCAGGTGATGGCAAATGTGTGATTTGTGACTCGTACGTGCGGCCCTGCACCCTCGTGCGCATATGTGATGAGTGTAACTACGGCTCGTACCAAGGGCGCTGTGTGATCTGCGGGGGCCCAGGGGTGTCTGATGCCTACTACTGCAAGGAGTGTACCATCCAGGAAAAAGATGTACGTTGTCATCCAGTCTCCTGTAGAATTGCTTATGTCCTTCTTTAATAGCTATGCTAGTCTTTAAAGGGATTTAAAGGTAGTGGTATTAGTGTTTGGATGTTGGATGCTTGGCTTCCGCTCCCAGAACTGGCACTGGTTTTCATTACCTTGCATTTTTCTTTTTTTGTTGTTGGTTCCCAGTATTTGTGGAGCATTTTGGGATACCAAGCAGTGCCCTGATTCTGCATCCCAGAGGATCCTTGAGTGCTTTGCAATGAATACTCACAGTTCACTTCCTTCATATGCTGCTTGTTACCACTTTCAGCTGTTATCTTACTAGATAGTACTAGTTATCATACTAGATAGTACTAGTACTTACTAGCCTAAGTTTTATCAGCAGGAGAGATATTTTAGATGCTGCAAAGGCAGTGGCAGGATCAGTTCCTCAATGAATCCGTGATCATACCATACATGGGATGATCATGCCACTGACATGTATGGTACCGTAAGGCCTACAGAATCACCACCCGTGTTTACCTTTGTGTTACAATAAAGTTAGCTCTTAGTGCCCTTTGTCCTTGCTCTAATTGTCTTTTACAAGCTTAACATTTCTTGTATAATTTCAGTGGGGTGTGAATTTTTTTTTTAATTCTTGTCTGGAATGGCCTATATTGTAAACACTTCCTTTTCTGCTAATTTCTTATTTCTATAATCAGTGCTGATTAATCTTCTCTTTCTGAAAGATAGTTGCTGTGCCTGTGTGACAAGGCAGATGTTCACTCTCTAGGTATGCAGTAATATCCATCACAGTGAATGCAAGTCATGAAGGACTGCCAATGAAGTAGTAGGAAGACTGTAGGAAGATGCAAAAACATGATGCAGTGTGCCAGAATATGGATCTGATGGAGAGTATCTGCTAAGAGTTGTGTGTTTTTTGGGCTGGATCTTTTGCAAACACCATCTCCAGCACACCCTGATGTCAGCAGAGTGTGCTGACAAACAGCTTTGTTTGATTTGGAGGAACGTGCTCAGCTAACTGAGCTGCTGCTTTAATATTCTGCAGCACTCATATTTTCTCTAGAGATCTTGCAGGGCAAACCCTCGTCTGAATTTAGTCAGTAGATCTGACAGGACCACAATCTTTCTTAGTATCTAAGTATTATATGTGGATAGAAATGCTGTTGGTGGTGCTGCCTCCTACGTCTGGAAATGTGAGAAGCAGTAATTTTGTTGACTTGTCTGTGAAACCAAGGCACTTGATTTGACAGTTTATCAGTAAAATGGACGTGTGTTTTATTTTTACCAATTCATATTGATTCCTGATGGGTATTTTTCATAATCTAGTCTTATCTGTAGGTTCAGATGTGAAACAGCCTGCTGCTCTGGAAGGGAGGTTTATAGAGAATATAGAGCTGGAGGAGCAGAATAGCAAGGCAGAATTGAGGTATTTTGATAGCTGGATGAAACCTGCTGTAGGAGACCATTGCCCTGTACCATATTAGGAACTATTGTGAATGTGAATTTACAGATCTAAAAGAGAAAGTGACAAGATTGACTTGCAGGATTGAACAGAGCTGGTGCAGATGTAGGTGTAGAGTGCTCAGAGCAAAAACAGCTGAAGGTGGTACACATCACAATTACAGTAGCTGGTGGTGACCTGAATAGAGTAGGAAAAGCAAGCGGACATAGCTCTGCACCTGAAGCTCTTCCACCCTAAGGCTTCAGTCACAGCACTTATCTTCCTTCATCCTCAGAGGAAGACTGAAAAGGATCAGGAAGGAAGAAATCATATCTTAAAATGGTGGAGGTGGATGCACTTAGGCACACAACGCAAAGGGCCTGGTTAGCCTTGGTTTGTGTCTCCCTGGAGAGAAATTGAGATATTGTTTCATCTCAGTTCTGTCTGTGGGTAAGGTCCAAGATCTGCCTTGTCATGCACAACAGATCTGAGTTGCAAAATATAATCCTTTCTTGGGGGACAGGAGCATGCTCATATTCTACCTCCTTGTGAGGGGGTGGAAGAATAAGCAGAGCCCTGCAGTAATGCTGTCAAGATTGTCACAGGCACCCTGGTTTGTGGGAGGCAAGGCATGGAAGAGTCCTGCTGCTGAGGTTCTGAGTCGAATAACAACACAGTCGCAAGAGATGGGTTGTGGGAGCTGATTTCCCCCTTCTACTCTTTTCTTGCTACTTTTACTATGCAGACCCTCCCCAGCAGGTCTCCCATGCAGGCGCCAGTACTGGTGGCACAGCTTGAATGCAGTTTCTGCAGTGGCCGACATCTGCCCAGAGGCTTTCTAAATGTAATCCATTCAGCCTTATGCAACAGTGAAGGACACGTGTTCCTCTGCCTGTTGGGCCCCTCAGCTGCTGTTGCCAGCCACAACATTTTGCCCTCAAGAGTTATGCAGATGCTGGGCTCAGGTGGCTCACTGACAAATGTTCTGTGGTTTGTAGAGAGGTACATGGCTCTGATTTGTGTTTGCAGCTATGCTTCTGAGATGGGGCTCTCCTGCTCCCCTTCTTGCATATGTTTTTTTTTTTGTTTTGTTTTGTTGTTGTTTTTTTTTTTTGCATGCTTTCTACTGCAATTCAGGTACAAGATCTTAATCCACATATCTGCTCTGAATAGCTGTCCTCTCCCAAGATGACCACATAGTCTCTGAAGTAATCAATTTAACCTGCAGGAAATCTGAGATTCTCTTTTGCTGTCACAGCTGAGAGTGGTCTCAACACAAGAGTGGCTTAGTGACATCTAAAGCAGCAAGATTCTTTGTGGCTAAGGAGGGGAAAGGTTATTCCTCTGAGCCTCGTAAATCCTCTGTATCCTAATTTAGAAAGAATCCAGTCTTGAGGCACCGAGCATCCTTTTCATTAAACTGTTATACGAGCTGTTTTCCATCTTCACCCTGAGGAGGAGACTGTCCTAGAGTAGTGTTAAAAAGTTACCTACCCTTTTTCTTCTTGCTGATAGTAACCAGAGTTTGAGGGCAGTCTGCCTACACAGGTGTTTGAAATGTATGTTGAGGACAGAGTGGGGAGAGAGGGACCTGGGATGAGTCTCCTGGAGCTGTGTATGTGATGATGGTGTTCTGTTTGCTCAACTCCCACTTCACATTCTCTTTTCTTTTTGCAGAGAGATGGTTGCCCTAAGATTGTCAACCTGGGCAGTTCCAAGACAGATCTCTTCTATGAAAGGAAAAAATATGGATTCAAGAAGAGGTGATCCTATCTGTTCAAGGCTACATTTCCTGTCAGGTTGGCAAGAGGGTCTTGGAACATCTCTGGACTTTACTATTATTGAAAACCAGCTGACCATATTTTCTAAAGCAGTACAAATTCAGTAATATCTTTGGGGTTGAGAGGGGACTGAAACCTGATTGGAACCGACTATCAGAAAGAGCAAATGTGGACTGGCTCTTGTTTTTTCAGTAGCTTTGCTAGAAGCTGTCTCAACTCGCTAAAAAATATCCTGGTGGGCAATCATTTGCATGTGGAGGAGACTGGCTCAGTAAAAACCAAGTGCCGTTGCTGGTGTGGAGAAATGCTCTGCTTCCCTACTTACCAAGTCTCCTCTCAGCTGTTAGAAATCACCCCACATGTTGGTATCGAAGCACAGAGGGCCAATCCTGTGTGTCTGCTCCCCATCTCTTCTTCCAGTATATTTCCATGCTGCCCTGTTTTGTGAAAAAACTAGCACCATTTGTGGCTGGTGCTTTCCTAGGGAGAGCGCAGCTGTTCCATGTTTTCTTTGACAGATTAATCCAAGGCCCTTTCTGTAACCACTCCTGTAGGATGCATACCAATAAAGCTACTTCTCTTATTTTTTATTTTTTGTGTAACAGAAGGATTTCTCTCTGGTTCATTCTGTGCCTAGCCTCTCTGGAGCTTTCTGGGGACACAGAGGATTAGCCCAGCTAGAACTGTACAATGGGTTATCAGGTTTCCGACAGTGTCTGCTTATGGCCATGTGACCTTGCTACAAGGAGCTTCAGGGAATGGCTGTTGCTTTTGTGCTTGTGTGATCCCAGCCACTGACCATTTTGTCCCGTAGCATGAGGATTGCTGAGCTTGTAACCCTTATCCTAGCTAAAATGGCTGTGGATGTTGTTTCACCATGCAAACATCCAATCCCTTTCTAAAACCTGCTAAGCTATTTGACTCGCTGTCCTGTTCTTGTGAATAAGTTAAAGCCTTCCCTGCTGTAACTGGAAACCAACTATTGTACGATAGGCTATTAGCTGTATGCATGCTGAAAACCAGGGGCTGCTTGTTTGTCAAATACCAGTGCAGGCTCAAAGTGGTCTGTTTGCTCAGCAGAGATCTGGAAATGGGTGCCTTTACACAGAGGGATAACTGCGTGTGTGCCACAGATGGTTAAATTAGAGCTGTACCGTGCCCCGTGGTCCTTAAGGTCTTCATAAAGCATGTGCTGCATTTAGGGCAGTCACTGTCTGTATAAGGCACCTTCTGGGATTTCAGTTATTCCCCTGAAGCTAGTACTGATTCCTCTAGTTCCTCTCTGATTTAAACGTTTCTTCTGCCTGTTGTAGCCATTTAGGTATTTCAGCTAAGAGAAAACAAGCAGAGAAACTGTGATCTTCTTTCCCATAAAAGTCATTTCTTTCTGCTGTAGCTGTCTCCAGCTGTGAGTGGTCCTACAGCTATCTCAGCTGTTCCTCCCTTCCCACCAGCAGTTAATTCTATTTTTCTCTTCCAAGCTTTTTGCAGTCTTGAGAACATCTGTATGTCTTCTTCCCTGCACCTTAGTTCCCTTCTGGTTAATTTTTACTAATGTGGATGCCATTTGCTGATATGCTCAGTGCAAACCAGTTCTCTGGTTCCAGCAAACCCAGTCTTTGAGTATTTCTGCCTCAGTAAGTGGCTGTCCCTTATTCCTGGCTGGGAAGCTCATGTCAAAGCCATTATCAGCTGCATTAAATTTTGTCTTTCTTTAAAACCAGTACATGACATGCAGATTTTTTTTTTTTTTTTGTACCTGGAACTTTATCACTTCAACCAGAATTTATCAGTTACTCTCAGTCAGGCTGCCTGAGTTATCACATAAGGAATGCAGAAGGTTGGTACATATCTTTTCTGCTTTCTTTTCTTTCCCTGAAGTTTTTTAGATGAGAAATGTCATTCAGTGAAGCCAGTGGGAAATGAAGTTTGAATTTCTTTTTTCGGAGAGTTACTGCATCTAATGCAGGGTACGCTAGAAGATCTAATTTTGGAGCAGCCCTTGTTCGTGACCATTTAACCAGGGGTTGCTATAGAGATCCGAGAGCCCTCATCCCTTCCCCCACCCCAAAAAAGGCTGAGCACACTTACTTCCTTGGCACTCCTGCTGCCCTCCCTCTGCCGGGTGTATCGGTCTGCATTTGGCAGCAGCAAGAGCAAAGCTGCCATTTCTAGTTGTTCTGAGTCACTGGGCAGGTGGAGAGAGGGAGGGACGGGTGCTTTTCCCTTTGCCTTGTTTGCTCAGACAGCTCTGGGGAGAATGCCAAATGCCGCTGCTGCTCAGATCGCTTCAGTGCCACTGCCTTTCTGGTACTTTCAGAGCACGGATGGGACATTGCCCTGGAGCTGCTTATTCAGACAAGGGTAACGGATATAGCTGGGTAGCCCAGAAAAACTCAGCTTTGCTTGCATGGTGATGATTTCTGTTCAGTGGTGAATGATACCCACGCAGGGCTACCAGAAGAAATGCAGTATTTGTTACCTAAAGAGATCAACAGAACAAAACTCATGGAAATCACTCTTGTCCAGTAGATTTCCTGTCAGTACTGCATCCCAGAGCACATAGTAAAGGAGTGATGAGGGAGGGAATGGGACAAGGAGTGTTCTGCTGTGTGCTGTTTGCCTCTGGAGGGACATCACCAGCCTTGGTGCTCCCGGTGCAGGCGATTCAGGGGCTCCCTGGCTGCAGGCGGAGGTGGAAGGGATACTGCCTTTCCCATGGGGCTGAACTCCCATAGTGCTGGCTGCAAATCCTGAGTGCATGAGGCTGAACGTCTTCCTGCAGTTGCTTTTCTAAGTAAAGTTAGTGCTTTTTTTTTTTTTTTTTCTTCAATCAAAAGGATGTTATGTAATAAGTAAAAAATCCTTTTTATTTTAAATGTTTACACGGAGGGGGAGGAGAAACATGGGAACTCTTGGCCTATTAGGTAATTGGCCTCTGTTGCCAGTACTAACAAGGCATCGCTGCCTTGTGAAACAGGGATGTTCCCTACACACCCCTTCCGACCAAAGGCCAGCCACCGTGTCACAGCTCAGTTGTGAGCTCAGCAGAAGCTCGCCAATGCACCTCCTGTCACTGAATCGTCTCATCAAGGGCATTGACAAAGCCCTTGAGCCTGAAACATGACCTTTAAAAAGTGCTGAGGGCTGGCAGATGCCTTGAGCCTACCTCTGAGCTTTCCCTGCACATAGGTGAAAATCCTGCTTTCAGAAACCTTACCTGCAGAGGAGACATTGCCTTTCTCATTATGGAGATCAGCTGGAGATGTTTTGCCTATTTCAATAGCAGGAAAAAGAAATCCATTTCCTTGAGGTTGTTTTGTGACTTGGATGTAAAGAGGATTCAGGGTACGGCGGTGTTAATTATGCTGATTACAACCTGACTGCCCTTCCTCAGCACTGATGAGCCCAGCAGGACTTACCTTGCCCCTGCGGCTGGGCCATTCCTGTCCTCTGTGTGTGTGACTTGGTGGCTGTGCTTTGATGTAACACCACACGACCGGGAATGCAGAAGCGGATACAGGGACAGGATTCCTCTTCACGCACGTGAGCCAGCGTGGCTGGGTAATTACAGGAGCGTGGTCAAGATGCAAATATCTTCAAGAGTCCTAATGTGTAAACACCCTCTTAGTAACACCTTATTAAGACAACAATAGAACTTTAGCAATGTAATTGCCATTTTTTCTTAACGATGCTAAAAATAGTGCCATCTTTTTAATTTCCTGATTGCTGGCTGACAGCGTGACTTTGTTTCCAGCCAAGCAAGTGATTGTTAGGGAGCTCTTTTGTAGCTGAGTTCCTGTTAAACTCCAAGTGATGAAAATAAACCTAGCTCCAAAAGTAGCCCTGTTCTGTGGCAAACCTCAGGTTTCTGAGATTACAGGAAAGATTCAGGTCCTTGAGAATTTGGGAGAGGTTCAGGTTGGATATGAGGAAGGATTTCTTGTCAGAAAGAGCGGTGCTGCAGTGGCACAGGCTGCCCAGGGAGGTGGTGCAGTCACCATCCCTGGAGGTGTTCCAGAACCGTGTGGATGTGGCACTGAGGACACAGTCAGTGGGCATGGTGGGGATGGGCTGGCGGTTGGACTCAATGATCTTAATGGTCTTTTCCAACTTTAATTGTTCTATTCTAAGGTAAAGGGGTCCTGACTGAGGCAAGACAAGCAAAGCCGAGAAAGGCGCTGAGGATCTCTGTGGGAGCAGGGCTGTAGAGGAACTCGGTATTTGGTGTCAGGGGACAGTGGCCATAGAAAGTTATCTGACAAGGGGATGGAGAACTACTCTGGTGGTCTGGAAAATAGGCAGTGAAAGAAACGTTTGCATGTATGGCTGTGTACTGAGAAGATCCTTTACAAGAGAAATGCCCGACCACGGGTGGGGGGCGGGATCCCCGGGGTCGCGGGACTCATTCACAGGGGTCGGTGCGTGAAAGGAACGTTCCTTGGGAATTCTTCAGAACCCATGGCTGGGGCCCTCACACAACCTACAGCCCGGCCTCGCTGTGCTGGGAACTACAATTCCCAGCAGACTTCGCGCCGAGCCCGGCCCCGCCCCGCGCGCACACCTCCTTTGGCTCATTGGCTGAGGCAGCGCACCAATCCGGACGCGCTGTCGGGCCCGGCCGGCCAATGGGAAGGCTGTTGCTAACAGGCCTCAGTTATTTTTAGCACTCCGCCGTCGGCGCACCTTGCGGCTCGCCTCCGCCGTGGCCGGGCCGGCTCTATTCACGACGGCGGAAGCGCACAGGCGCACTGTGAGAAAATAGTCCGCGAACGGCGGGGCGGGGGGTGCGGAGTCCTTTCAGGAGATCAGCGACCACGGGCGGGGGGCGGGATCCCCGGGGTCGCGGTACTCATTCACAGGAGTCGGTGCGTGAAAGGCAGCGCCGAGCTGCGCGTGCCCCTCAGAGAAGCCGCGGGGCGGAGGGGGGTCCCTCCTCGGGTCAGCCGCCTGATCCCCGCTAAGGCCCCCGCCCCCTGCCTTCCCTGCTTGCCCCTTTGCACGAGGTGAAAAAAGAGTGAAAAAAGAGAAAAAAAAAAAAGAACTCCTTCCCCTCCCCCGCGGGCTCAGCGCGCCGCGCGGCGCTGAGGGGAGGGGATGTAGTCCCGGCCCGCCCCTCCGCGGCCGCATCACGCGGGGCGGGAGCGCGGATCCGTGCGCGGGGTTGCTAAGGGTGAAAGTTTGCCGTGAGTTGGCTCACTCGGGGCCAGGGCGCGGGCGGCTCCAGGCCGGCGGGGGCGAGGCGGCGGCCGTACTCGAACCCACACCTCCGGGCGTCCCTCGGCACCTTCGGCCCTACAGCCGCGACGCCACCTCCGGGCCCGCCCCGCGGAGGGAGCGCAGCGCTCGGCGTAGACAGAGAAGCGAGGGACGGGGCGGAGAGCGGCACGCAGCGCCCGGGCTCCCCCGGCCCCCTCAGAGCCTGGAGCTGAGGACACAGTGAGTGGGGCGGAGGGCTCGGACCGACGGGGTGGGCCGACGGCGGCGTCCCGGGGCTTTCCGTGCGTCTTAACGGGGCCGAAAGGCTCCGCTCGGCCGCGCTCAACAAAGCCGCCGCCGGCTCTGCGCCGGGGAGGGGGCCGGGAGGGCTCCGCCGGCGGCCCGGGGGTGTCCTTCGCTGCCGGGAGCGGAGGTCAGGCCCGGTTTCGTTCTCGTGGGGCCGCCTCGGGGGTCTCGGCCTGAGGGGGGGCCGCATCGCCTTCTCCCCCCCTCCTTCCCCCACCGCTTCGCTGACAGGGAGAGGGAGGAGGAGAAGGAGGGAGGGAGGGGGGCGGCGGCTGCCCGGCGGTCCCCGGCTTCGGGGCGTTGCTCCGGGGCGGGCGGTGACGCACCGCGCATGTGCCGTGGAAAATTTTTCGCCCTGCCCCACCGTGGCAGCGCCGGGGCGGCGGGCGGGGCCTCGCGCGGGGCGTGCCGGGAGCCGTAGTTCGGGGGGGAAGTGGGTCACGGGGAGAGGGGCGGCGCGGAGGGGAAGCGCGGACTGCAGCTCCCAGAGTGCCGCGCGGCGGGAGGCGGCCCCAGGTCTGGGCGGTAATGGCGGCCGTGGCAGGGGGGCAGCCGGCCCTGGGGGAGCGGCCCGGGGGGTGGGGCGGCGCGGCCTCGGAGCGGTTGGATCCCCGGCTTTTCTTTGCCTGTCGCTGTGTGAATACGTGTTGGAAGGGGTCCTCTGCTTGTTAGGCGGGAGAGGTGGCTCTTGGCCTTTTGGAGTGTCCCTGTGAGCCTTGGGGTAGATTAACCCGTTTCCTTCATAGAGAAGGTTCAGAGTGTGCTCCTCTATAAAGAGAGAGGACTCGGTGAAAGAGAAAAGGGACCTACAGACGGCTGATGAGGGTGGGGGATCTTCCATTTCCTACTTGTAACCATAGATCTCTCACTAAGGTTGGGTCTTGGTTAGCATTTAGCACATGGGATGTAAAGATTTACCAAGAGGCTGCTTTTTTTCCTGTTGAATTTGCTGGCATCCCAAGCTGCCTGCTCCTAGGGGGCCTCGTAGCAGGCAGGGTTTTTTAGAACCCCCTCTTGGGGTAGCACGGGGCTTTGTGAGCCCTCTTTGAGAGGTCACTGTGCTCCTCCGGGGCTCTGCTTGGTGCCCCTTTCTCTGCACAGGGCTCTGTCTCAGCCCTGAGGCTTCTGCCTTCTGGAAATGGTTCATCCTTTCTGCCTCCTGGAAGCTCTGCTTTCTTATTTTTTCTTCGGCGTTCATCCATTCTTGGTCAGGCCCTGGTCTCGTTCCTGTGGTTTCTCATGTTGCTGAGTTAAACCCAGAGGGGATTCCTCCAGACTGGCCTTGCTATTGGCAAGCTTGGGCTGTGGGATTTGCTATTTGTTCCTTAAACTGAGCCTTCTTTGACCACGATTCATGCAGAAAGAAAATGCAGAATCTACCTGTTTGTTTTACTTAGTAATAAAGCCTAAAAATAGTTGAGGGTTTTCTTAAAATGTACTTATTTAAACCTACTTGTCCACTCAGTCAGCCCAAGCCAACAAGTCTGGGCAGTTCCTCCTAGCCTGGGTGCGGGGCTGTGCTGCTGGGCTCCTGCTTTTTTGGGGGAATGCTGACAGCTGAGGTTTGTGCTCCATCCCCGCCCCTAGATAATTGGCACAGGTTGTAAATACCGCCGGGCACTGCGTGAGAGCATCCCCGCAGCCCATGTTAGGAAGGCAGCTGAGTGTCGTGTGGCTGCTTGAACAAGGTGAGGGTAGCTGAAGGCTGAGCAGCCTCTGACGAAGCTGCCAATTAAAAACTGGATATTCTGCTCGCCTGCAGAGAGGCGTGTAGGCTGCTGGAAGTGCGTTTCCTTGTCAGATATCTGTGGGATGCGCTTGCTCTGGGTGGGTGACAGCGCACGGTGCAGTCCTGCCTGGGGGTTGTACACAGGTAAACGCTAATCCTAAATCTGAGTGTAATGGGAGGGCTGTGCGTTGTGATTTCACACTGTGGTTTTCTGGTTTCTCTCAATTTCAAGGATTTCCTTGGGTGGGTGAGAGGAGAGAGAGAGAGGATTACTTCAGTCTCCAGCAAGCAGTTCCAGTTTTTATTCAGTACCTGGTCCTGGCAGTGCTCACCTGCTCTCTGCACAGGGAGAAGGATGTGAGCGGTGCTGGACAGGCTGGTGGCACATGTGTGTCTTGTGACCCTGCACACATCTCCTGCCTCCATCTGAATTAAGCTGGGATTTCAGGCTTGTGGCTAGACTGAGCCTCAACTGGGTACACTTAATAAGATGTCTATGTGTCTGCCAGTCAAGGGAGAGTAAACATGGTCTGGCAGGTGGTGCCTCTGCACCCTCTCTTGTTCCTTATCCTCCTGCCTGTTCCGATAGGACATGGTGCTCCTGGCCTCCTGAGGAGAGCCATCTCAGACAGGTCCCTGCAGAGCTGCCGAGAGAGTCACGAGGCTTCCAGGTGGTGCTCGTGTGCTTGGAGAAGCGGCTGCAGGGAGCTGTGCTGGAAGCAGCCGGGTGCCAGGGCGTAGCGAGGCGTGTTGGCTGAAATAGCTCTGCCACAGCAGGCAGTTGGCCTGCCTGCTTTTGGCAGCAAGATGGGTACACGACACGTAGCTTGTGCAGGGAGCAGCTACACTCCTGTTTCCTGCACAGGACCGGGGAGGCTGTTCCCCAGCAGCACCAGGAAATCTGGGCTGATGCCTAGTGAGCATCGCTGCTTTTTCCGCTTCTGCTAATAAAACAGCCTGGCTGTTTATCTCAGTAGGTGGAGAGTTGCTGTATTTTTCTTGTCTTCATCCATCCTTTCCTTTCTTTTTTTCTAGGTCTGCTCGGAGCCAAATCTTGTCTATGTGTGTGTCGTTTTGTCTCTTTTAATACACTGCCCTGACTTGCTTGCTGTGAAGGGAGTATGCATCTGGAGATTAAAGTTGCTCTTAACTTCATCATCTCATACCTGTACAACAAGCTTCCTCGGAGGCGGGCTGACCTGTTCGGTGAGGAGCTAGAGCGCCTGCTGAAGAAGAAATATGAGGGTCACTGGTACCCGGAGAAGCCTCTGAAGGGCTCAGGCTACCGCTGCGTTCATATTGGAGAGACGGTGGACCCGGTAGTGGAGCTGGCGGCCAAGCGGAGCGGGCTGGCTGTGGAGGATGTGCGTGCCAATGTGCCGGAGGAACTGAGCGTCTGGATCGATCCTTTCGAGGTCTCCTACCAGATCGGTGAGAAGGGCTCTGTTAAGGTCCTCTACCTGGATGACAGCGAGGGCTGCAGCGCTGCTGAGCTGGACAAAGAAATCAAGAGCAGCTTCAACCCTGACGCCCAGGTATTCGTCCCCATTGGCAGCCAGGACAACTCGCTGTCCAACTCTCCATCCCCCTCTTTCGGCCAGTCACCGAGCCCCACCTTCATCCCTCGCTCTGCCCAGCCCATCACCTTCACCACTGCCACATTTGCTGCCACTAAGTTTGGCTCCACCAAGATGAAGAAGGGTGGAGGGGCCGGAGGAGGGGGTGGCGGCGCAGGGGCCACGCAGCAACCGCGGATGGTCAGGTCGCCCACTACCAACCTGCTGAAGCACAAGGGCCTCTCCCTGTCCATGCACTCTCTGAACTTCGTCGGGAGCGCTGGGAGCCAAGCCCCGCAGTCGCAGCTCTCCCCCAATGCCAAGGAGTTCGTTTACAGCGGCAGCTCGCCAGGGGCCAGCAGCCTATTCTTCGACGGTGTTGCCAGCGAGAGCCAGGCCAGCAGCATCCCTCCAGCATCGCAGTTCAATGCTGGCACGGGCAGCACCTTTGATATGGCTCAGGTCTTCGGCGGCAGCACCAACAACCTCTTCTTGGAGAAGTCTCCCTTTGTGGAAGGACTCAGCTACAACCTGAACGCCATGCAGTATCCCAGCCAGTCCTTCCAGCCCGTCGTCCTGGCCAACTGAACGCAGGGAAGGAGAGTATTGGGGGGCAGGGGAGGGAGGGGAGGGAACAACAACAACAACAACAACAAAACACATGGGGAGAGAAAACAAATATACAGAAAATATTCAAATCTTATAAATATAGCTTCTTGGAAAAAGAGAGAACCCAGTGTTGTTGCGCTGTGCTGGCAACGCTCCTGAAGCACTGACTTGTTTTTGTTTGTTTTTTTTTAAACTCAGTCCCTGTGCTTTTTCTCCTACTCACTTTTTTACTCTTTAAATGAGTCTCTGGTCTTTTGGGTTGTGTTCCCCCTTCCCCAACCCCAGATCGGCACAGGTGTAGGTCACAGTGCTCCCTTTCCACTCCCACCTGGCTGTGGAAGGGGCAGGCAGGACAAGGTGGGCTTGCTTTGCTGTTATTGCCGTGTGTGTGGGAGGAGAGCATCTCGTGTGCCTGGAGGTTCACGCTGCTGCACTGCTGTTGCTCCAGGCTAGCATCCAGTTCTGTCTGTGCTGAGAAGCACCTGATGCCCCCTCTCATCTCCAGCTATGGGGAGGGCAGCAGTCCCTTTTGTGCACCAACCAAGGGGCTTTTTCTGTGCCCTTTTGGGGTTGTTTTGGAGGACAGCCCTGCAGCATAGGAACACTGCAGGTCTGTCCCTGTGTGAGGAGGTGGTGCTGGGCTGCTGGATCCTGTCCCCTCCTGGTGGACACCCTACCTGCAGGGCTGAGCATTCACTCGTGATCCTTTGGTCCTAGGTTTGAGCTCTTGTTGCTGGCTGTGGATTTGTCTTCAACTTGGAGAGGGGATTTTTTCAGTAGTTAGAGGCAGCACTATTTTGGAGGAGAAAAAGGGCTATGTTGTTGAAGCTGCTGTCTTGAGCGATGGTAAGTGGTCTACAGGTCACTTCTGTGCCAGGGTCTGGGCCCCCAGGTGGGGCTGGAGGACCCCTGGGTGTGAAGGAGCCTCCTTGGAGGCTGTGGTGGGAGCGCGGAAGAGTGTGGAGAGGAGAGAAGCAGTCATGAGACTCCAGTGTTTGAAGTTTAAAAGAAAAATGAGCTTTTTGCTGCCTGGGGTTTAATTCTCTTGAAACGGTGTTTCTGGAGCACCCTTTGAAGCCCACTTTTATGGCTGCTGTACCAATGTGCTCCTTCAGGACATCCCTGTTCAGGGAGATGGTCTGCAGCTTGTGCTTTTTCCCTCTCCTTGACCCAAGATGAAGGCGTGCCAGCCCTCCTGTTGTTGCCAGTGAGCCTTTGCAGAGGCAACGGGATGGGTGTGGGGGGCCATTGCTGCCACAACCCTGAGGAGCATTTCCATCCTGGCGGGGGCAGGCCCCCAGCAGGCTGCTTGCTGCCATCGGGCTATGACCGGCACGGCGGGCCGGGCTCACTTGGCTTCTCCTAAAATGGCTTCCGTAGCCTCGGCCCTGCGGGTTTCCAGGCTGGAGCAAGCTGCTCAGGAACAGCTGAGCCATCTGTATCTTTCTTTGCCTATTCTGTTTGGTTTTTAACCTACTTACGGATGTTACCACTGCCACCCTCTCCCTGGGAGCACACTACTGACTGCCAGGGCCCCCGCTCGTGGGACCCGGCTGTCCCCAGTGCTGGCAGTGCCACCTGCCAGTCGCTGCCGCAGGACAGCGGACCCCTTTGGCACCTTTGGGGAGAGGCAGGGAGCCCCAGCCCTGTGCGTGTGAAGCTTCGATGCCGCTTTGCCCCCATAGCCACGTTGGGAACCGTGGTGCAAGGGGAGGGAGGGACCAAGCTCTGGATTAAACAAGTGTGCTTCAGAAGCGTTCCCTCGGCGTCAGGCAGCGATGGAAACTAGCAGCCTTTTCAGGGCTTTTCTAGTCTTGGATGTAGGCGTTCAGCTTCAATTTTATTTTTTAAAACCTGCACTAATTTACCTGGTTTCTTAGGGAGAGAAGAGAGAAATTTTTTTTTTTAACTTTTATTTTTTATGGGTTTGTGTTCTTTTTGTTGATGTCCGTTTGTATTGAATAATTTGCTACATTTGTAAAATGCAAGAGGTATATATAATATATGTATATTTCTAACGTAAAAAAAAAAAAAAAGAAAAATTGTAATTTTTTTCTTTTCAAGATTTTTTCTTAAAAAGAGGAGAGAGAAAAATATTTTTTCAGGAAAAAAAAAACCTTAAAAAACAAGCAAACAAAAAAAAAAGGCAGTGAAGATTCCTTTCTCCCCTGCTCAGCCTCCTCCTGTCCCTCCCACCCCACTGCCAGCACTGAATGGGAAGTTGCCTTGTGGAGAATGAATGAATGGAAGAGGTCCATGCTGCTCCGGGTGGAAGATCTGTGTGTGCTTTGGTGGTTCCTTTCTGAGACAGGGGGCACTGAGGGGGGTTGGGAGGGAATATGGGGGACTGATGGCTTTTTTTTTTTCTTTTTTCATTTTTTCTTTCTTTTTTTTTTTCTTTTTCTGTAGCGAAGGAGGAATACAATCAGAGTTTTGTATTCAGAATGTTGTGCAATATTTTGGAACGGGACATTGGTGTGTCTAGAGATTTAGTTAAAAAACAAACAAACAACAAAAAAAAAAAGGTTGATCAAATCTGTACAGTTTCTATTGTTCCAGATTTTTTTAAGTTTGTATTAAAAGCATGATATAATAACTGCTCGTCATGTGTTGCTGTCTGGTGGGAAGTGTTAATGGAAATGCTGCTGTGCTGGGAACATCTGGTGCTGCCTAGGTTTGTGCCAAGGGCAGCTCCTCAGGAACAGCAGTGGCTGCTTTGCCTTGCAGTGAGGTTCAGTGCCCTGGGGAGGGGGAAGGCAGGGAGCAGTGCCTTTGGCTGCAAGTGCCACCAGGCCCTTCAGGCAAACCAGTTGGCCAAAATAGCTGGCTTCCTGCAGCAGGCTGCCAGCAGGAGCAGCTCCTGGCAGCCCACAACCCTTGGGTCTGAATTTCTTCCTGGACAAGTTGGTGCTGCTTTGCCCTTGGGTTTGCAAGCCCCAGGAGCCAGGCACGCTGCGCTCCATGTGACTGTCACGCTGTGCTAAGCAACAACCCCTTTGTGTCTTGAACCCCTTGTAATCATTTATCTGAAGCGTGCACCAGCTCTTGCCCTTCACCGTGCTGCTAGAAATGGAAAAGGGCAGCTGTGCCTGCCTGCTCCTTGTCTTGTTTTTGCCTGGGTCTGACACAGGTCCTTTGTGGGCACAGGTGTGCAGAGGAGCAGTGCTTGCAGTTAGTTCAGAGCTGATAGCCAAGCAGGGATTAAAATGGTAGTTTGGTATTGCCTTGTTCCTGGTGTTTGCCCTTGCCCTGATTCTGTGGGCAGGGTGTGTGAGTGGTGGCTGTGAGCATCATACCAGGCCAGGGTGCTGAGCAAGTCAGTTCCCAAATGGTGTGCAATATGTGGCAGTGAGGTGGGGCTCATCTGCTGGAGCCAGAAGGTGGTTTCAGCAAGGCAAGGGTGTGGGGATGTCATTCAGATGTTCATTGCAGGAAGCTCTGCTGCTAAGGAGGAAAACTTGCTACTTGAGTCACCAGGCAGTCAACTCTAAGGAGGAGGCAGCTTGGATAGGGAATGCCATGCTTACCCCTGCACTTTTCAACTTGTGACAGCAGGAATTGTGGCACAACTGCCTTATGAAAGCATGGAAAGCCAGCTGTAAGACAGCCATGCACTGGCTTGTGTTTTAAATACAGGCCCACCAAGAGCAATCCAAGTTTGCTCTGGCTGGTGAGCACTTCCTGCTACCCCAGAGCCTTCGGGGCCATGGCACAGCTGGGGACAAACATCACTTTGCACAGGTGCCTTGCTGTGCTCTGGCTCTTGCACTAGGCCAGAACCAGGATGTGGAAAAACACTGCAAAGCCCCTGCCAATGTGAATGCTGCTTCCTATCTGTGCCACTTGGAGACAGCCAATTTGTGCGACAGCCAATCCGTGTGGCCACAGCCAACAACAAGAGTGACTCCAGCCTGGCAAGCGCATGCTGGGAGGGACACGTGAGGTTTTCCCATTGCTATGGAGAGAGTGAAGGCAGTGAGACCTCGGCAAAGAAATTCATGCCTGCATTTTGCCTGTAGGAGGGCCTGGGGGACCCTCACATTCCTCACCAAACGCTGAGGAAGCCACTGTGGATGCTGTTAGGGCTTTTTTTTCCCACTTGATTTTGTTCAGCTGGCACAAGAGCCATGCTGCTGGTGCTGATCCCCATGAGGGAGTGCGTCCCTCTTGCTCCACAGGGTGTTTCCACTGAGGGCAAAGTTTTCCTTGGAGTGAGTCAGCTAGCAAGTGCTTGCAGAAGTTGCAGCTGTGGCTCTCAGCAGCAAAAGCCAACACCCACAGGAGGCAGTAAGTAATGGGGTGATGGGCAGTGCTGCTGCAGCCCTCCCAGCATGGCAGCTCCCACCTGGACATGAGCACCAAGTTGCAGTGCTGTCATCACCAGCACTGGGACAGAGGTGCTCAGGTCCAAGGAGAGAACATGACTCCATCATGGTCACACAGAGCGCTCCGGTACTCATCCACCTCTCGTGGTGCCTCTCATGGTCCCCTGAGCAAAAAGGAGAGGATGCTGAGGGGTGGAGTCATGGAGTCATTAAGGTTGGAAAAGACCACTAAGATCACCTGGTCCAACTGCCAGCCCATCCCCACCATGCCCATTGGCCACGTCCCTCAGTGCCACATCCACGTGGTTTTGGAACACCTCCAGGGTCGCTGACTGCACTGCTCCCTGGGCAGCCTGTGCCACTGCAGCACCACTCATCCTCAGAAGAAATTTTCCCTCATAGCCATCTGAATCTCCCTCAGCATAACTTAAGGCCATTACCTGTCATCCTAAACAGAGACACGCTGGGGACAGATGGCTAGTACATCCCAGTCATGCCATTGCTAAGCATCTACCAAGGAGCAATATTCCTTTAGACTAGAAATTTGCTCACTAAAACTATCTGGTCAGTTTTTAATCTTAGAGTGAATCATTTTCATTCAAAGTACTCTTTGAAAAGTATTATTTTCCCCGTGCACTTTGTGAATTTTTTGACCAACTGGTGCTTCCTACAGGTGGAAACCTTCTGGAAGCCAGCGACTACAGCAGACTTCAACAGCTTCATAGTAAGCAGAGCACCACACATCTAACCAACATCTGCTCCACAATAGCTGCACCAGACTGGCATTTGCT